AGTCTCTCCGGTCACTTCTTGTCCTCCTTGCTCAGTGAGACAGTAAAAAGTTTTACTTTCATGATTTTTCACTGTCTTTCATGGCTAACTCCAGGTATCAATTCAGTTCTTCCCTCTGCTGAATCCATGCCCACATGAAGGCTTCAGACTGGCTATTTGAGCACTCAGTGACCTGAGTCCCTTCTGGCAGCTTGCCTGCTCTGTTTCCTGGCTGTCTTTTTCGCCTGGACCATGGAGCAGTTCACTAGTGAGGCTACTACTGCAGTGATGCACATACCACACTGGCTGATAACATAAGCTCTGTCCCATATGTTATAAAGGGACAATTTATCTCCAGGTGCAGGTCACCCTCTTGCTCTCTGTGTCCTGATGCCTTCTTTAAGGGCTTCCTGCATAGACCCTGTGCCTGGCCCTCCCTCCTTCAGAACTGAGCATATGGACGTAATTGAGTAAAAGAACTCGAAAACAGTTTCTACCATCCTTTATCAAGTATTGCTGCTATTGGCCTTAATAAAAGAGAAGTCCTGCTATGGCCTGTAGCAAACACCCCTCAGGTAGCTGTGGCAGATTGGAAGCATTTAAAGATGGTCTGTGTTCTAATACAATCTTTTGGAAAGGACTTTATGTTCCATATATTTTGTGTTATTGCCATGAAAGACTAAATGAGGAAGCACGCTACCAGCTGAAATGCTTATGGAAATTAAATCCATGTTTAAATGAATTTAATGAATTTAATGTGAAATTCAGCAGCTAGAAATTTTGCACCAACTTCTTCTTAATTAAAATGAATAAGGTCTCAAAGAGTTTTAGTTGGGATAGACCAGGAAAGAATTTGTCTTTAAATGTGTAATTAAAATACAATTACATTGGAAGGAAGTCATTACTGAGGTTGTACCTCAAAAGCATACCTAATGAGCTCTCAGGAAGAAAGGTGCACCAGATATATGATATAAAAGGATGTAGTCAGAGAAAGAGGTATTAGTGAGATCATTTCGGTAGACAGTAACAGTTCTTTTATGGTCAGATCCTTCTGGATATATTCAGCAAGCTATCTGCTTCATCTTAGCTGGGGGTGTACAAGGCACTTCCACAAGTTTTCCTTCTGACACATCTAATTGTTTCCCACCCCTCTCCTGGGAATGTGAGCAAGGAAATCATCTTTCAAATAGACATCTCTGGATGAGGGAAACCTTAGCACAGACAGAGCTCAGTTGCCCAATTTTGGGAACCATTTGACAGAGGTATATTCAAAATATATTCATATTCAAAGGGCCTAATCCAACCTTGGTTAAAACCAGGGAGGGAACTCTTCTCTTGGTCCCTGCGCCAGTCTGTATGAAGCCCTGAGAGTAGCACCCAGAAATACGGTGTTAGAGTAATGCACATCTCTGCAGTCTCAGGTTTTGTTTTTTACTTTATTCCTATAGCAGGCCTATAAAAGCAGAGTTTAAGAAAGATGACATTCCACAGGGTGCATAAAACAGACAGGTTTGGGAAGTTGGGTGGAAGTGTGAGCATAAAACTGAAGCCACTTTTTGCTCCCTGAAGCCAGAACAACCAGTCATTTCTTTGATTGTTTTGTTTTGTTATGTTTAGGTTTGGTTCTGTTTTTTTTTGGTAATGTGGTGTGTTTTGGCTCAAAGTCCACTGAAGTCAGTGATGAAGTTCCTGTTGACTGTACCGAGGTTTGGGCTAGGTTCATAGCAATAAATGCATTAACTTTTGTAACAATCCATATAGGTAGTCAAAGATGGAAAGTTCACAATCCCATTGGGATCAGCTCTATTTCAAAGGTTCAGTGTCATGGATTGATTTGAACGATCTGTAACACCTGGATGTAACTCTGAATTCAAATCGCATCAAGAGAATTTGCTTGTAGGTTTTCATTTAACTTCGGCTCTTCAGATAACTTTCTGAGGTTTTTAACTGAGATTTTTACAAGTACAGTAACTCTTGTAAGAGAAATGTGGGAGAGGAAATGTGAATCTGCTGAGCAGTGTCCCCTTTGATACAGTACAAAAAATGATCTAAGTAGCCTCATGTTTTAATGAGCAGAAATATGTTCCTGACAAGGAGGTGAATTCAGCACTTAGTGAAATGCACCCTGCTGAACTGGTGACATTCAGTTCATAATCAAAGTTTTATTGTTAAAGAGAAATTGCGGTCACACCCTTCGTATTGAAGATTTAGTTCAATAAAATAAAATCCTGTGACAGTAATTTCTCTATACCCTTAGATTCCCTACAGCAATGCTTGTTAAATGGATAAGAAACATGCAGAGCTTGACCTAGCCTTTCTCACATGAAAGTCAGATGTCTTCACTAATACTCAACAAGGATGTTTTCAAGCAACTAGTTTTATTTTTAATGTGATACCAAAAATGTGTGATTGTCAGTGTTTTGGTACTTCATCTAAACCAGTTTCTGTATCAGAGCTCCCAGTGAAGCCTGCAAAGGGGTGTTTCATATACAACATTAACAGCACTTGTCAACAGGGCATGCCTGAGTGAAGTCAGCCTTCTGTAGCTACAATAAATAGCACAAGTACTTCTTTCCCTTGAACAGTTTCTTTCTTTCCCCCCAGGGTCTTGTATTAACTCACACCTGAAAAACCATCCTTTATATCTTCCTCAAGGTAATTAAAATAAAGATTCAAGCAGATGAGCAATGCAATATTTCTAAAGTGTCCATTTGTTAGCTTGTCAGTCTCTGAGGAATTTCCTGTTTCAGTCGTGACTGGAGTAAGTGGCAGCAGAGTACTTAGCCATGGAAACCACAGCTGGAAAAAACCTCACCTCTTGAAATCACAGAACTCACAAGGATTGACATGGGGTGACATTAACTAACAGAATCAAATAAATAGTGTGGAAACGTGCTCCCCATCACAAAGGTTACTGAAAAGCCACACTTTTGGCTTATGTGAGTTTTGCTTTTTTTTACCAATGTGAAGTGGGTTTTTTAATACTTTAGGGGTGGATGGTGAAATTTAGCAGAGAAACTAATGGCTTGAAGTATACAGCTGAGACAAGGGGCACTGCTCACGTTCCCACACTATCAATATCAACATATTGTGAGTGTGACTTACCGCTGCAAGCCACCACCACTGCTCCTCTCCAGCCAGAGACACTGGTAAGACAGGTGCTGTCAAACAGAGAGCATCGTGATGGCTGAATCCTGTGAGGTGTGGACAGAGGCTGGATGAAGCCATTCAACCCTTTTCACTTGTACTTTACACCAGGTTTGAAACTATATAGCTATTCACTGGTTGACATCTCTGCTAGTCAACTCACAGGATTGCCCAGGTCATTTTGACTTCTATTTTGTATCCTGTACGCAGCTTTAAAGATATATCTTCTGTCTAGGCCATTAATTTGTAGGCTGTGTAACTAGAATGCATGAGGGATTTATGTCCAAGAATTTCAGGATCTGCCATCACTTTTGCATAGGGACATGGGGTAATGCCCATTTCATTTTTCTTTTTTTTTTTCTTTTAGCCATTAACAGCAAAACACAAATCTGTGTGTTTTAAAGCAGCTCTGAAATTGCATGGCCATGTAATTGCAATCTATCGGACTAAAAATTAAATCTAAAATTAGACATAAAAACCACAACATTACCAGTCCTGGATTTAAAGCTTATAGTGCTTTGAATTTCTAGGAAAATAATTAAGAATCAATTTAAATGCTAATGGACTGGTTTGCCATAAAACTAGATAGTAGTCGTACTCAATAACTGCATCAGAGCCATAGTATTGCTCTTTCCTTTGTCGAACTTCACTTGTGACATTGTGTACATAAATTCACAAGTACTGCTGTGTATCGTGGACCTCTGTACAACACTGCAGCAAAAAAGGACTTTCCAGAAATCCTACAGAAACCAAGTTCTCAGAAACTGATTGTAGAGCCAATTGTGGAAACCTGAGGGAGGGTCAAGGGCAGGAGTATTTGTTTCTCTCCTCCCTTACCTGGTGGCTTGCTGTGTTCCCCAGCTTTGCCTATAGGATGTCCCCTATAGTTTGGAGACTTTGAAACCATCCTGCTCAGACCCATCTGCCAGTTTTGTGCAGCCCCTTTGGGTTGCACTTCTTTGGGGACCACAGGTGCTTCCCACTGTGGCTGGTGGTGGGATTATAGTCCATTAGAGATTCTACGATTCTATGATTTCCATTTAGATTGGGGTCAGCTTCATTATCACTTCTGAAAGGCACCAGGACTGGGCCCTAGACCATGTTATAGAGGTGATGATGAGGCTGCCTCTTTGCCCAGCACACGACCAGTGGCTTTGTTATACGTTTGAAGTGAAGGCCTGGGAATAGCACTTTCCCACACATTTCCTGAAGCAGCCTGTACAGTACTGTACAAGCAAATGGCCCTGCACAAAGCTATCCACATAAACCTAGAGCCTCTGCTCCACTCAGCCAGTTGCTACCAACTTATTCCTGAACTGATGAAATACAGTTTGTTGTGGAGTTGTGTCCTGGGGACAGGCTCTCCAGTGTCAGAATAAGGCCTGGTGCAGATTCCTAGCTGTCTTCTATCTGCTCATCTCTGTTCAATTTGCAGGCATTTCCATTTGGTTACATCCATCCTGAAAAACTAATCCATGTTCATGGGCACACTGTCACCTACAGTGACAGATCCCTGATCCCAGAGGTCACGATGATCCCTTGCTCCATTCTGGCCTATGCTGAACCAGCATGCTGTGGAGTCAAGCCCAGAACCATTCCCAATACACAGACTGGTGAGAACAATGTTTAATAACATGGGCAAGAACTGTTCTATGCCAGGGAACAGCTCCAGATGCATTTAATTCTTTGCTGTATTCATAGCATTTTAAGCTACTTCCATTTGATCAAACTTGTTTGGAAACTACCTAGCAAATCCTAAAGTTATTTCAGGGAGCTGGCAAGGAAGAAAAGAGGGAATGAAGAAGCAAATAAACACATTTTTCCAGTAGTATTTTTTTGCTAAATAGCTGGGCTGAAAAAGAAAAAAAAAAAGCCAAGCAGAAAATGGTAGTACCATGCCATGTGCAGTGAGACAGAGAAGAAAGCTTTCCTCCTTGAACATATGGATTGGGTCAAAATAGGGGAACCAACTGCATATTCATTATCTACAAAACATGTGCAAGGGAAGAGAAGACCCAGGAATGACAAGTTGAAGGAGAGTAAGAAGGTTGTCCCAGTGGAGCTGTTGATGGAGGAAAGATGTTCATGATGTGTCTCCACATAGCAGAATGCTTTCACTGAGCCTACTGAAATGCCACCTGGTTTTCTGCCAGAAGGTGAAACATGATTTCAGTTGTAGTCCAGCCTGAATGAAGATGGAGGGGGAAGACAAAGACTCAAACCCTTGTTAATCTCGTGGAAATATAACCTGTAAAACAAAGAAAATAAGACAGTTCTGAGAACCAGGGACTTCACAATTCCAACAGCTGTGCAAGGCACAATACCATCTTGTTTATTCTGTATTTCTGCTGAGGTCATGTCCTAGAGAGCTGCATCATGGATATGGCTTCCCTGTGCTAAGTTTCCAAACACAGCAGGGAAATGCGGTTCTTGCCAGGAAGCGCTTGTGCCAGAGAGCAGAAACACCTCTGCTCCCCTTCTGTGGGCAGAGGGAGGGATGGGGCATGATGGCAGTCACCTCCTCAAATGTCTTGGTGAGCTCAACAGCCTCGGATGGGACCGAGGTGTGGGGACATCTGCCTGCACCACTTGTGAACAATCGGAAGCTCATTTTCATCATGCTGATCATTCATCATGTTGATTGTTAGTGGCTTTGGAATTTAAATATTAAAGGACAGCCTCAGAATTAAATAGGCAGAAACCCCAGTCCTTTTTCATTAAGAAAACATCTGGGGGCTTTTTTTGCCTCTCCCCTGAACAAGTTTGAAAAGACAAGTTATCCTCATAAAGTCTTATAAACGCCCACGAGACAATTTTGCTTTGAAGTATCAATGTGACAGGGCAAAAGCAGAACAATTTGATACTAATGATTTCAGTCACCATCCTAATGCTTCATGTTTTAAAGATCATTTTGCAATAAAGACATCATGATTTTACAGTCACATTAGAATAATAAACCGTAGCACTTATGGAGTACTTTTCCTCTAAAACATGAAATAAACTGGAGCAATAAGTGTTTTTCTCATTTTAGGGTTGGAGAAACTGAGGCCCAAGGACATGACCTTCTCACAGCGCAGTCTGGGAGAACCTCACCTGACTCCTGGTTCTGGGGTTGCCCTTTGGGCTGTGATGTCCCTCACCTGCTAGTCCAGACAAGATGACTGATGACAACTCTGCAGGAGAGAGCAGATGCAGATTGATGTTTTTACTTCCTTCCTTGTAACTTCAGGCACTTCACTAAGACATCCCAAATAGCAGTGTTGAAACTCCTATCAGGAAAAAAATTAAAGCAGAAAGAAGAAGCGACAAGATCTATTCACAATAGACAAGATGAATACAATTCACCAGACCTGCTGATAATCTCTGGAGGGAGGCGGGGTGGCCACAGAGTCACCTTTCCCCATCATTTTTGCTAGCACATCCTCTGCTCTTTCTTCTGCATGAGAGAGGCAGCAATGTCATCCCCAACCCAGGTGGCTGCATGTCACCCTGGTCCAACGAGAGGCTCCACTGCTGGCATTATGGCCACCACACAGTGGCTAGCAGGCATCCCTTTGAGTGCAGGGAGCACAAAGATGAGAGGCTGCCAATATGTCAGTTTCTAATTAAGATTCACCAGCTTCCAACCTGGCTTGATTCATTATTCATCCGGAAATTTTCTTCCCTAACTTTTTTCTGTTCTTCCGCTGTCACCCACTGAGCGAAGGTGTGTGTTTCCCTCCCGGAAGCTCCATCGATACCTCTGCAGCTCTCAGATTGAGACAGAAGAGAAAGAAATAGTTACAAACCAAGTCCTGGAGTGCTCATCAATATTTACAGGCATCTGACAATGACTTATCCTAGACCATCTACATTTAAACTACAGAAATGCAAACGAGGTGCTATTTGCATTCTGAGTAGTAAGGATGGGATATTTTCACATACGACTTTGCTAGTAGAAGGCTGTTCCTCCTCCAGAAATGTTTCCTTTCAGTGCTGTCCTGGCATGTCACTGTAACATATAGTCAGGAAGTCAGTTAGGAAAGGCATTAAAAGAGACAGAATGGGTTTCCTAGCTCAGAGACTGGTCTTTTGGCAAAGGAAAGAGGAGAAGAAAAAGTCTTTGCAGCAATCATTCACCATCAGATCCTCTGCTGCTCTCTTTCATGGCAGTCACCCAGCGAGGTGTAAGCACCTAGCTGATCTAAAAGACTGATTCAGATAAAGCATGTGAGGATTCACATGATTACAGATGCAGGGTTTGAAGTGAACATTTCACCCTCCACCCTCCTTCTCCAAAACACAATCCCATGTGTAGCACACTGGAGGTGCAGTGGGAGGGGAGGGTGAAAACAGAAAGCAAAATCCTAAACTAAAGCGTTCAGAGAGAGCTCTCCTCATGAGACTTCAGAGGAAAGTAAGCTCGTACTGATGGGGATGTGATCCCTGAGGAGAGGTTTCACTGCAGGGTGCACGCTGGTGAGGAAGAGCACTGGCTGCCTCCCTGCTGCCCTGGGGAAGGACCCACGGGTGCTTTTGCTGTGATAGCTGCGCTCCCTCACGGCAGCAGCCTGGCTCTGGGACACTTGTTGAAAGCCATCCAGAGCATCAGATGGCACATCAGAGAGCAGAAAGCAATTTCAGCCATGGCATTGCTTCTGGCAGCAGTGCTCATTGCCAGTTCAAGGTTGTCAGCTTCCCAGACTGATTTTTACTCTCTCCCAGGCAATTTTTTTAATTTATTTCTTTTTAACCACAGCAATCTTTATGCTAGGCACCGTCTGCAGAATTAGCCGGAAAGATATGGATCATCATTTCATCAATTTGTCTTCACATGACTCAGGAATGCACTCCATCTGGGAGTAGAGTCTACCCTCAGGAATAAGGAAAAGTCCCATGGGTGTAGAGATAATTTCACTACATGTTGGATGTGTGAGATGTGGGAGGACAGCCCCCCTCTTTTTTGCCTCTTGCTTGTGATGCTGTGTATGAAAAATTATTTCCAAATGATGAAAGTGCTTACCAGGAGTAGACATGTTGTTATGAATGGCATTGCCTTTGAATTCAGCTTATAATTAGCCTTCTTTCTTGTGCACGTTTCCCTCTTCTTGTTTTTTTTTTTTTTTTTACTTTTTATTTTTAGGGCCCATATCTAGTACATTTCGTTCCCTTATGGGAAAGACTTAATAGTACATTGCTTGATTTCCATGTTAATTTAGCACGTGGTTTCTCACAGTAACTGCCACCTCCTCGCCTACTGAATATGTACTTTTATACCCTTAGCAATGATCTGATAACACTATCAGAGCAAAATACATAGAACAAGAAACCATGGGGATTAGATATCAAGGAGGACACTATAGGGACTATGTTAATTGAGGTGATCAGCAAGATTAAGATAAGTCTTGCTGCTTCCTTATATTGGTCTTAATAACACAATGCAGAGCCCAAAGCACTTTACCTACTGTACAATGCGGTTAAGTCCCTTTCTTCCCTAGGGTGTATAATCTAATCTTCTAGATAAAACACTTAGCAAAGTGAAACCAGCTGGTGTTAAAAGCTGTATTTCTAAGATACAGCACCTGTGTAAGGTTTTAAAAACTACTAAAAATAGTGAAGGCCAATAAAAGTTGTAATTTGATGCGTATGTACGTACATAACAGAGGTAGACGGAAACGTGTGTGTTTGTGTTGTGTGAGTGCACAAGCTGGCCTGAGCTAGGTTGATGCTGCTCCAACTTCAAGAAGGAGGTTTGCCCAGGCCATCTCCAGAGGTCTCTCTAAACAATACTTCCCTGATTTTCTGATAGAATCCGTGGGAGTAGTGGTGCTATAATTTAACATTATCATATTTTAAAAGATTATTCCTGCTTTAAGAATATTAACTTTTTTCTTCATTTTTCTTTTTAGGACGTCTCTCTGCAATTAAAATGAAGATACCTCTGCAGGAACTGATTTTACATAAATAGACTTTAAATAATGGAGCTGTTGTCAAGAAAAGAAAAAAAAAAGCACTACCCAAAGCTTTTTCAAATCAGTTCTTGACAGAGTTCTTCAAATGGAGATAAACATTGCTGGTGTAATGACTTGCCACATGACCTTGCACTTGAAGTGCCAAGCAAAGTGAAAAATAACACACTCAAACAAGAAAAAGTGCTGATTTTGATTCCCAAAATAATATTTTTCTAGATGAAACTATTTCTGCTGTGGGCTAGCATGCACATACAGAGAGAAAGCTGAGGTTTTCCTTCAGCAATATCTGACATTTCCCTCTCAACTAGATAACTGAGAGGCTATTTGGGTTCACTAAAAACACTTCTGCACATCTGGGAGCAATAGAGCTCAAAAGCAATTTGGGAGGAAAGATAAGTCTTGCAGTCAAGGCAGAGGATTAAGGAGAGTTCAGTTCAACTCTGCCCTGTCTGACCTCTGAGTCAGCCTCTTCCTCCCTTCAAGCATCCCATTCTCACAGGGTTATGCGTATCAGGAGCTTCCCCTTGGCTGGAGACCGTCTCCTACCTCCTGCATCACCAGAGCACTTGTTTCCCAGTGGTTTATAGAGCAACGTGAGGAGCCTGGGAAGCAAGGAGGAGGAACTGAAAGTAATCCCTAATGGGAAGATATTCGATATAACTGGCCTACTGAAACCTGGAAGGCTTTGTACAATGGCAGTCTTAAAAGCACCAGCTAAAACTTGCCTAGGCAGGGCACAGGATGTAAAAGGGGAGGTGGCACGCTCTTCACCATTACTGGTTTGGGGACGGCAGGCACCTCAGAGGCAGCAAACCTCCTCTGCCTATGTATCAGAGAACTGCTTCATAAACTGTACCCACCTTTGAAACCAAACTGGTGTCCTTCAGAAGAGTGAGACCCTTTGCAGCCTAGGTCTGGGTGCAGACTGGTGTCCTCCTTTGGCATTGGGCTCTGTGTCAAGGAAAATTGTGCTGAAGCAGAAAGCACAGGCTGCCTAGGGAGAGCTGCCATTACTACCCTGATAAGCTGTGTAACTCCAAGTAGCGCATACACTTGGTACTTAAAGACACTAGTTTCCCAAACTGAGGAAAGTTACAGGTGAAACTGAGTGTAAAAGTTATTAGGAAGAATCACATATTAAATGGCCAAAAAGCCATTACTTCATGGTAAAGGAGCTGAATAATATTGGTGAAAAGCCCATTCTCTTTCAGCGGAAGAATGGAGGTAGGAATAATGAATTAAAAAGCAATATGCAACATATGGATAAAAGGGGGTGGTAATAAAAATTCATATAAATAAGAGTTTATGAAGTGTAGAAAATTGATAAAGAATACTAAAGACATCAGAAAAAAGTCCATGGTTGCTCAGGCTTTGCTTAAGATGAAGAGTTTCTAGAAAACTTAAGAATAATAGCAGAAAAACTATCAACGCCATAGACTCATTGCTAGTTGGAGACAGCCTACTCGTTAAAAGCAACAAAGAAAAACCCAGAGTTGCTCAACAATTATTTCTGCTTTCTATTTGGAATAATGTATTTTCTGACCTGTTACTAAAGAATAAAGAGATTGAACAACTTGCACTAGTGATATGATATCACAACACAATATCTCTCCTGAGCGTGTGAAATTGGCTTACTGCATGCTGGGCATGAATCCACTTTTTGGACAACACAAGGGCTAATCATTTTTGAAATCTGAAGGTCCACAAAAGTGGTCCCCAAGACGCAATGCAGGGTATTTTTAGCTTGTGTGTTTAAATTTTTAGTAAGTCATGAAATAATGGGGAAATTCTGAAAGGTTAATGTCAATATTGAACAAGAATTCCAAGACAAATGAAACCACACTGGCAAATATAGTCCAGTTTACTTGGTATCAATCCCAGGCAAAGTGATGGAGAAATTGATGGAAGATTTAATTAATAAAGAATGATTGATCACCTGAGGTGGGAAATGTAATTGCTTAACGTGCAAGGGTCGAGTGTGCAGAACACTGAGGATCAAGGCACCAAAGACCAAAGCACCACTTCCCCTTGGTGGCCAAGACAGATGGCATTATTTCCCCCTTCGGCTGTCCCCTAATCCTGCAAGGGGTGGGTAGTCACCACAACTGAGGCCATGTGGTGATGGGAGACACAATGTAAAAGCTGCAAGAACCAAAGATAAGGAGTCTGAAACATCCCAGGGGGGTGGAATATTGAGGAGCCTCGTGGCTCCTGGTGGTAGAGGTGGTCTAAATGGCCACAGTAGTCAATGCAGGGCTGGGACTGTAACAAAATGAAGGACAGTGAGATAGGGACAGGGGGTTATAGAATCGTGGAAT